GCTGGTTTATGGGTTTAGGGTTTAGAGATGGTCGCCCCTTTGGTTTAAAACAGTTTTCTGTGCTGGGGTTTTGATTCATTGATAGCTCCCTGTGACGGAATTCTATGCTGGACCGTTCTGGGCTACGCCGAGAGAGCAAACAGCTCTTGCACACAGAATCCTACAGAGGGCCCTTTTGTAGGGAGGGCTTAGGGTTGCCATGCGTTACCCATATGGGTAGTTTTCGAAATTTGGGTCCCTTTTTAAGTCCCCAGTTTAAATTTGCACGGTGCAATTATGAGGACCCAAAAAGGGGCCCTAATTTAGAGAACTACCCGAAGGCGAGTTCAGGACAGAAGGGGTCCAGAAGACAAGCCCGAGTAGTCTGATCTTTCTGCCGCCGACCCAGAGAAACCCTGTACAATATTACGGTTTAGGGTTGAGGGTTTCAAGACCTTCGACCTCTACATCCCTGGACAGAAGCCCTATCACCCCCAAAGCCTCCAACAAGCTTAAACCCCTAACCCTAAATTAAACTTAAGCCAAAAAGCTTCAAGCCGGACCCACCCTTGAAATGGATTGAGTCTTCTGCGGACTTGTTGATCACGGCCGGGCAGTCGTCTCTGCCGGCTGAGCAGGCTCCTCGCCAATGTACATCATCTCCCCCGAGCCTAGTCTCGCCGGTACGCAGACATCTTTCAGTTCAATCCACACATGCCCAGAGTCAGCACCTCGCATCCGTGCTCTTCGAGCAAGCCGATATTGCGAGGGATGGCCCAACCGGATCCATACCTCACCAACTTCACCGTTGGACCTGCAAGGTGTGTAAGCCGATGCATATGCTCTCACCGTGCGATATACCCTGGCCCACTGGGTTGGCCGGATGAACATGCGGAGATCAGGCAAGTGCTGGTTGTGCAGGTCTCTTGGGTTTTGCCTGCCGCGATGCCTGTAGTTGAAATGCACAGAAACGACTTTGGGAGGATTCGCCCTTGCATCCACCTTCATGCACACCTCTGAAAATGTCCAGAGCGCCTCCAAGTAGGCTCCCGACGACGCTTCTGAGAAATCCGAGCTCAGAACTGTTGCTGCGAGGTCCGAACTAGATTGCAGGCATGAGTTGGGCGATCTGAAGCCGGAAGACCCTGAATCCGTTTCAAGGTCTGTAAAATTAGAATCAGCATCTAGCTTCAAGCCTAAAAGGTGGAATGCATCTGTGCAGCCACGCAAGTGCGGGATGCGAACGTGAAAAAGATCCGCGCCCACACGCTGAGCCTGGCTTGTCCGTAGGGAAATTCGCAAACACGCCGGCGTTCTTGCCTGAGAGGCTGGCGGGCTTTGCCTGTGGATGAACTTCTGAAACCGAGCCTGCTCCTCTGTGTCCGGGAGTAGAAGGTTACTGAAGACCTGGCCCTTGAGGCTCTCTTCCATCACCAGGGAACCACGGAGCAGATCATCGTCCGTGATTTGCAAGGACTCATCCAGCAACAGCTCCGCATCACTTAAGCCCTTCAGCATGGTCCGAAAAGAGGTGACCATGGACTCCGCATCTGCTCCTCGGAACTGAGCGGCCACTCCTTCCCTCATAGTGCTTTCCAAGACCACCGAACAGAAGATCAGGATGAGAGCTTTGAGCAGCGGATGTGCCACCACTTCCACTGAGACACTTTGCAAACCGCTGGAGGCCGCAAAACCAACGATCTCTGCCAGAGCAAGAGCAGCTTGGCCGGGTACGTGTACAGTCGAGTCACAATAGCAAGCGAACATAGTAAGCTGGCCAACTTCCATCAGCCTCATATGTTCAAAGCCGGAGCCTGCACACAACCCCAATCGCATAGTAGGCGGCGACAAATATTTTCAATTGTTGGGCCCGCAAGCGGATTTTGCCATGTGCTATTGCTAAATGCGTAGCATATGCAGATGCGGCAGCTAGCAGGATACCAACCATAAAAGCCGCGTTCCCGCGATCATAGATGCACGGAATGATAACCATCGACATAGCGTTCACATGCACCATCAGCTTGCTTGTTTCGACGTAGCTGTTCTCTCGCAGCTGTTCCATGGCGGCATTAACTCGCTGTGCATCATCATTACCAGCGTGTGCTGAGCCACCTGGGTTTTGCCGTGCGTACTGGCCCAGCTTTCCCAAAAATTTCAGCACATCCACATGAGTCATGCTCCAGTGAAAGTTCAGGAAAACGAGTGCAGCCGCCACATGAGTCATGGAAACGCTCTCGGACAGCATGGCTCAGCGCAGTGCCCCTAGAACAGAAGCACAGCCTGCAAGTTGGCTTGCGTTTGCATAGAGTGCTGACACCCTAAACCTTATAACGCTACAAACTCAAGCTCCAAACTCTAAGCTTCCTTTTTTTTGGCCCGATGGTAACTGTAGTGAACCCTAAAATTTGCTGACGGAGCGTGTGCTTGCGAAAGGCTTGGGCAAGCTGACAGCCGACGAGTTCTCGGAGATCCTGGGCCGTGTTAGAGCTGCCGGCTTCGGTCCGGGGCATGCGTGCAGCTTGTCCAAGAACTATAGTAATAATAATGCCAATAATGACTGTACTAAACATAATAATCACAGTCCAGTTGAGTACTAATTGGTAAGACTTCCAAGCTCGCATCACTCTTGCACACCTTTCGCAACAACACCACACTTCCACCAATTGGGTACAGATTTCCACTTTAAAGTTCGATCGAAAGTTCTTTATGCCATACGCGAGCTGTAATCCTGATCAGCAACATCTCTTTCTGCAGGCATAGGACTACGGAGCTGTATAAATCATTATAGCGTCGTGGCGGTGGTGATTTCAGAGCATGTGGCACCTGCCACAGGAAACTGTAGAGGAACCCCAAATACATTTACAAACCGCCAACCTCTACCGATGATTATCAAAAGGCTCTATTTATCCCTCTTAGACCGATGCACAAACCCTAAACCCGTACCCTGCGTGACCAGACGCCTCACAAACCCTCCAAATGGCTTTTCGAAGCACTAACAGGCCAGACCACCCCCCCTCCCACAGTCGCAAAAGCCTCCTGGCCCACAGAAGCTTCCAAACACCCAGTTGGCTTTCGGGACTGCTGCGACACTGCACGTCCGCAACAGTTTTGTACACGGGGAGGGTAAATCAAGCTTCCGGCTTCATTGGGGTTCTGCCCCACAGGCAAAGTCAGGATGTGCTGGCGCCACTGCGGGAGGAGACGACCCCTAACCCTGCGCCCTAAATGCCCAAACGTCTTAATTAGACCCCAAACCCTTAACCCTGGACCCCAACATTCAAACCCTAACTTAACCCTAAACCCTACACCGTAGGTAAAGCCCTAGACTCCAAACCCTTATCCCGAACCAGGACCCAAAGGCTTAATGCCCGAACCTCAGCCGAACAGACTCTCCGTCAACCTTCAACTGCAATCAGGGTTGAGGATTTAGGGTACCTAAACAACGGGTCACTGAATTACATATTCCATGGCTAGTAACCTGCTGTTGATAAGTAAGGGCTGCAAAAAGTGTCATGTAAACCGGAACCTCTGAACTCTAAAGCCCCTAGACAGGAATCCTCTCAGTTTAAGCCCCAAATCTTGAAACCGAGAAAACCCCACACTGGACGTACAGCCTGAACAGAGACATCAACTTCAGACAAGACCACTAAATGCTAAGCTCCTATAGACCTATAGACCTATAGACCTTAAACCTTACCCATTGACCCACGTAAATATTCAAACACACTCTGAAGATGCCAAAACTTGCCTTGCTGGCATGATCTCATCACCAAGGCATGCAGCAGGCCTGTAGGCTGACGTAAGACCGTAAAATTTTGGCTGCTGCTGCTAGTACAAGAACTAGTACTACTAGTACTACTAGTACTACTAGTACTACTAGTACTACTAGTACTACTAGTACTACTAGTACTACTAGTACTACTACTACTACTACTACTACTACTACTACTACTGCTGCTACTAGATCGGAA